TTATTTATTTTTTTTTTGTCGAAAATATATCTAATTATTCCACCATTTAGGCCTATTTAGAAATTTTCTCTTTTTTTTTTAATTTTTTTGTTGGATTTCTAAATTTTTCACCATTCGAGTTAATTTAGAAATATTTTCTTTTTTTTTTAATTTTTAAAATTTTTCACTATTTGGGCGTATTTAGAAATTTTATTTTTTTTATTATTTTTGTTGGATTTCTAAATTTTTCACCATTTGGGTCAATTTAAAAATATTTTTTTTGAAATTTTTAAAATTTTCACCATTTTGGCATATTTAGAAATTTTTTTTTGTTTTTGCAAAAAAAAATATTATGACAATTATTTTTTATTGAAATTTAATTTAAATTCTTCTACCATTTAGGACAAATTTAAAGAAATTTCTCACTTAAAGATTTTTTAAGAATTTACCATTTGAAATTTCTAAGAATCTAATTATTGGATAATTACCACATATTTTCAACCAAAATTTTATTTTTTAATTTTTTTATTAAAAATAAATATTAATTATTGTTATTGAAAGTTTATTTAGATTATTCCATTATTTGAGATAAATTTAAATAAAATTCCTCACTTAAAAAGTTTATAAAAATTTATCATTTGAAATTTTTATAAATTCTATCATTAGATAATTAATATTTATTCTCAAAAAAATATTTTATTATTATTTTATTTAATATCAAATAATTAAAACCATAAAACAAAGTGAATAAATAAATAATTATGCATAAAAAATGAATAAACAATCAATTAAAGAATAAAAAAAAATAAGAACAAGTACCAAATAATTAAAGAATTTAATTTAAAAAAAACTAAATATAAGTAAGTAAAAGTACCAAAGTTGACGTAACCTCTAGGATGAAATTCCACCAAAACAAACCAATGTGCTAGCCTATCAGCTCACTTTTCTCTTTATTTCCTTCTCTACCAGACCCCGCAACTCTGATTCTTCTTATCCAAACAGAACCAACTTGAACCACGAAAAATTAACACTGTGATTGTTTGGAATTGGTTTCTATCACAGATGGTAATTCGTGTTCAATGGTTTAGGCATTCTGATCCATAGTGGCACTAGGCTGGCTGTCAGTGAACGTTGGTTGGCAATGGCCTGATGGTGCGCCGTCCTCCCTATTATGCTACACTTCTTTATATTTTCTCTGCTGATTGTGTTTCTGTCCCTGATTTTTTTTGTGTGCTTGTGTGATCTGTATGGATATGTATTTATAAGTTATGAATATGAGAACTCCAATCTAGAAAAGAATTCCAATTTTCTTTGAATTCTAATTTTAAACTCAATTTCAATTTTACAAACCGGTTCCAACAATTTCACATAAACTCAACTATTTATTTTTTCATTTTTTCAGCTTTTCTATTTTTTTATTTTTTATTAGCAAAAATCACAAGTAATCCCTAGGACAGATTGGGTTGTCTATACTTCGGACTAACTTGATTTCTGTAGCTGATCATTTGCCGTTATGTCCATCCAAAAGTATGATAAATAGTGTGGTATCAGGCGTAAGTCTTCCAAAATGGTGCTTATAGACTTATTGGATATACACTAAGATGTGAAACACCTTTGGTATTAATATGGATTTACCTTGTTGTTTTCAAGGAAATATTAGCATGATCATATATTTTAGTTAAACTTGACCATGTATTAGACCATAGTTCTATCAAGTGAACAACAAATGCAAGGTCTATGTGTCTCTGTGTGTGTGTGTGTGTGTGTATATAACATTGATGTGAGGCATAAGCATGAGTTTTCCATAAAGCACATACGTGGATATTATATTTAGTAAGACTTTAACAGTGAAAAATAGTACTACTAAATAAGATGTCAAATCGAGAGAACCTGGGTGAAAATTTTGGGGGGCTGTATTTACGTGGCTAAATAAGTTGAATCCTATGAAATTGAACAACCAAAGCTGGTGGAACATAGTTCAATCTAGAAGCAAGGGGTTTTTTATGAGTTAATAACAAAAGAGAGGTTTTCTTGGGTTTGAGATTGATCTTGGTTAGCAATTCCTTTCATTTCTATGGTTCATTTCTGTTAATTACTTATAAACTTACAGTTGTCTGTTGAAATTGTTGGGTGCAGTTACCTGGCAAAGATACTGGCTCCAGAAGGTTCAAAGGATGTGGCTGTGGGGAAACCTATTGCAGTAACAGTAAGTCGCCATTGTATGCTTTTACGTTGACTTATTTCATATCTTGTTGTAAATTACTTGATGCAATTTACCTCTTCATATTTAGTCAAAGGATTTTTTGAAGTCAGGTTAATGGCAGTGACTTGAGGCACATGGGGCACTAATGCTTGTTATTTTGCAAGGTTGAAGATCCAGTTGATATTGAAGCTGTAAAGACCACTACAGTCAAAAAGCGAGAACCAACTCATCATGAATCCAAAAGTAAAGTTAGAGAGCAGAAGTCTGGTACAAAGATCAGTACATCAGCAAAGTTGCTTAGAATATGGATTAGATGCATCATCACTAAAGGCATGAGGTCCTCATGGTACTTTGCTAAAAGGAGATGGTTTGGCTGCAATTAAGTCCGGAAAAGGATCTTCCAAGATATCTTCATCTGAGAAGAAAAAACCATCAACTCAAATCATCCTAAGAAATCTCCTTCAGCGAGGCCTGAGTCAAAAGCTCATCCACAGCAATCAGATTCTTTCGAAGACTCGTCCAATACTCAAATTTGCAAGGTATATTTCATTGTTCAGTTATAAGGGAATTAACAAGGCAAGAGACTTTGGCCTTGACCTTTTCTAACTAGGTTATTATTTAAAGATAGGAAGAGCATTATGGACTGGTTTTAATCTTTGTTCCTAAAATAAATGTGCCTTTATATTGCATTGGCCGTCAGATAAAACTTAAAATCTCTAAAGTCCTGTGACTGCAGATGGTTATACCAAATATTGGATAGTGAAAAAATGACCTGTTCATACATTTTAAGTATAGCTTGAAATAAAAAATTGAAGCATGCATCAATATAAGAAAGGTAAGATTTATGCGCTAATGACCAAACTGATGATAAAGGCAGATGGTGGTGTTGGAGAAACATTCAAAGGACATTGGGTACAAAGTTTGCATGTAATGGTTTGATGAATCAGTTGCACTGACAAGTGATTTATTTTAAGTAGAGTTCACCAAAAGGACACAGGCCTTTATGGCTATTGCATTATAGAATCACAGATTATTGATTGAATGGGATTAGTAAGGGGTTTGATTGAGAGGGTTTTCTTTTATTATTTATTTATTTAAAACTTATTTATCATGTGTGACATGTTAGGGTTGGTTTTAAATATGGGCAGTATATCTTCATAAACTTGATATGAATACTTCTGAATTAATAACATGTTAGGGTTGGTTTTATGTAGAGGCACTGGAACTGTGATATAAGTATTTGAACATGCTGGTCTTCCTTTATGTCCCCGTATGCTATTTGCAATACAAAATGTCTGAAGGCTTTTCCTTAATATTTGTAGTTAATTTATTCGTTCAGATATAATTGGGTTCATTGAAGAGAATTAAATTTCTAAGCCCAAGGAAAGTCCTATTATTGATTCTTTGTTCTTTTCTAAGCAGTTTGAAGAGAAATGTGTCTCTGTTACTGCTATAAGTTCTTTACAACCTTTGCATTTGTTATACCGTCAAATGTTGTTATTAGTAAGATGTAGTTTAATTCATCTATTTGTCTGATATCTTTGGATTTCTCTTTTCACATGTTTCCATACTAAATTTTGTATTGGAATTTTATTTTGACTGGTCTAAACCAGTAAATATGTTGTGTTATATGGTTTAGTGAGTGAATGAATGAAAATTCATTCTGTTAAACTCTGGTTCTCTCTTTTTACTGAATTTGTGTTCATTCTGCAGGTTATTGCGAGGAGGCTATTGGAATCAAAACAGACTACGCCACATTTGTATTTATCTTCTGGTATGAACTTTATATATTTATATACTGATTTTAGCATCATTTAACTTTTGATCTTAAAGGTATTATTGTGTTCTTCAGATGTTATACTGGATCCTCTTCTTTCGTTTAGGAAGGAGCTTAAAGGTATGGAATAAATTCCTGTATCATCAATTTGATCTTTCACACCTGTAGTTTTACTGACTGCTAATTGTTCTATTCTTTCTCCATTTGCAGAGAAGCATGATATTAAAGTTTCAGTTAATGACATCGTCATAGAAGCAGTGGCAATTGCTTTGAAAAATGTACCTGAAGCTAATGGTAAGACATAATTTCAACAAAACTGGTCCTTGTAGATTTCTGAGTAAACGTGGTATAGGAGCCAAGCCAACACAATTGGCTATTGAGCTTGACCAATTGTAAAATGTAGTAAAGATTGCTAGAAATGTGGGGTGATATTTATCTCTAGGACTAGATTCCACTCTGTTATGCTGCTGTGAAACATTGGGAATGACATAAATTTTTTAAACTGATGCAAGCTCAAAAATGCTTTTATTAGTATTTTTGCATCTCTAGAAAAACTACATTGGGAAGAAAATATTTTGAGTTTTTGATTCTTTTCTACCTTTATTTATTTCTTTTGTGTTGATTCATTGGCTGGATTCTTAGTTGGGGGCGGGTGGGGCGGGGGGGTAACACTTTCCCATTCCTTTACCAACCCTACTTGCCTTTTCATATGCTCAAACCAGAACTTCAACCTTCCTTAATGAAGGAAATGCCATAAGATGGTGTGGTCATTTTATTTCTTATACCTCAGTAGTTCAACAATTAATTTGTAGTTGCTGATCTATAAATGGTTTTCAGCTTAATCTGAAAAGAGAGTTCTGGAGAATGTTAGTGTTTGTATAAAATATTTATTCACTTTGATAGAATCTGAAGCTGAGTATTTACATTATTACCAGGTGGGTCTATGAGCCTCCTCTAACATCCGAACAGGAAAAGACTTATCTTGTTTTTTGTTGATAATATATGGTTGCATCGAAGAAGTTTCAAACAGGAAGAGCACTTAGACTGCTAATTTATCATACGTTTGTGTCGAGTGTACACACTGCGTATAGGAAATTTCCAGTATCAGCTTATCAGTAATAAGTTCTATTTTATAAAGTGGAAAATAATTACATTATTCTGTTTTCTTCGATTAAATTTAGCTTTCATACAAAAATGTTGGCTCTTTTGGCTTATTTCTATTAAAAAATTTGCTATTTCAATGACCGCAGCTTATTGGGATGTTGAGAAAAGGGGAAATAATTGTGTGATTCTGTTGACATATCAATTTCAGTTGCTACTGAGAAGGTATGTTTCCAATAAGATGTAGTTCTCGGGCTCTATAGAGCAACGGGTTTCATATTATTTTATTTGGATTGCAGGGTTTAATGATTCCAATTGTAAGAAATGCAGATCAGAAATCCATTTCATCAATCTCCTCAGAGGTACTTTCATTTTTGACCTCTACCCTTTGTTGATTTTAACAACTTTGTTTGGCTCCACTACTCTGTAGTGTAAGTGATATGACTGCGGTTTTAAGCCTAGCAGCCTCGCGTTGGACATAACATAAACTTGAGCTTTCTCAATTTTGGTTACTTTACACCAGATCATTAGGTTTATTGCCTATGTACTCTGCCTTTTAAGCTTGTTTAAATCTCAATTCAGAAAGGTAATGCTAATTATGAGGTTTTTATATTACCTTATTTTGGGTTGATTTTTAGGTTTTGATTTGTGCCAAATTGTTGATATATTTACAGTGAGAAAAAAACAAAAATAAAATCTTGAAAACGTAAATTCTCAAAATGCCAAACCACAAACAAAGAATTTTTTTTTTATTATATCAAAAAGATAAAATCTTAGTACAAATAAAAAAAAAATGTCTGATTCAAAATCAAACTTTTGATATCCCTCAAACATCTTTAATCACTAGGTTAAAAGTTTGGGGACACAAACAAAGGCTTTGAATATTGATAAAGTTGTTCTAAGTTTGATATTTTTTATCAAATTTTTTGAGTTTGATATTAGATTTAAATAAATATTAAATTTCAAAGGTTTGGATTAGTTCTGCATTTGATATTTTTGATTTAGGATTTAGGCTTGTAAACTGAACGCAACCATGATAGTTTTTGCAACTTCAACTACAATTTTGAGTTTGAAATACCTACCAAATAGTTTCTCCTTTAAGAGAATGGGCCTTGATCCAAGCAATTCAAATTGAGCCCGTTTTACACGATAAAGACCAAATATATTAGATGATACAAACTTTGTTCAAACTGAAAAGATCTTTAAATATACTATAGATTTTATGGAATATTTCCCCATCATTTTAGTTCAATTTAATGGTTAATGAAATATGAAAAGTTTTCTAAATAAAATTAATTCGTTTTTTTTTTCTTTCAAAATTTTATTTTCAAGGCATTAGTTAATAAAATATAATTTTATTTCAAAAGTTTATTTTCAAATAATTAATTAAATAAAATATGAAAAAACTGGAATTAATATATATAATTTGTATAACTTTTCTTTTCCTACCTATTTTTAATCAAACTCAATAGTTACTATGATATCAAAAGTTTTTTTTAATAAAATTTATTTCTAATTTTTTTTAAACGTTGTTTTCAAATCATTAATTAAAAAATACAAAAAATTCACATTATTTTCAAATCATTAATTTTATGCTTTTTCTTCTCCCTATCATTTATGTAAAAAAAAATAGTGATATTTTAATTAACAATTTTTATTTTAAACCAGGTGACGACATTGACATTTTTCCTTTCAAAGATTTGTTTTCAATTTATTAAATAATTGTATAGAAAATTAATAATTGACAAATGAAAACAGGAGGAAATTTATAGAAAAATGATTAGTAATTGTTGTACACCAAAACATTTTAGCAAAATATATCTTCGGACTATTTAACTTCAATCAAGAGTTCAAGTATATCAAGAAAAAAAACTAATTCTTCTAAAATGAGAAAAAAATTGACAACTTTCTGAATACAAAAATATAAACAATTATATCATATGTTCTTACTTGAGTTACTTGTATTTTAGCTACTCACCATTTATTGAATAAAAAATTTTGACACCTTCATAGAATAAAGTAACAGGAAAACCATTGGCATCAAGTTAAATAAACTTTGCATCGTTTTTTTTCAAAATATGATTCAATAAAACTATGGATTCCAAATAAAACATATCACTCTAATGTTCCTCTAAAAGAAAATAAAAATAAAAAGTCATTGCAAGAAAAATTATCGCATTTCTCAAGAAGAAACACCACACCGCTTTTGGCCATGATTTCATGAACTTTCTTAGACATTCCACGCCATTGGAAGGTGAACTTCCAATTCACAAACACACCATAAATCTCTCACTCAAGCTTCATGCAATCACAAAAAGAGAAGAAACAGCACAATCTATTCCACGCTGAATTCATAAGTTACATACTGCAATAAAGTTACAAAACTTTCATCAGTTCCCTTTTTTTATTCTTTTTTTTTTTTTTGGACAAGAAGCTTGCGTTCATATTTTGAAAATCAATTTCTAACAATAATCAAGTGCTAGAAAAAAAGATGAACTTCAAGAAGCTTGCACCTACCTCTATTGTTATTCTTTTTCATCATACTTATTAAATTGGTTTGTGAATAAGAGAAAAAAAATGCCCAAACTGATAATTGATAAATTAATAACATCATACCATATAAAAATAAGAGACAATAATTTATAAACTTAGATGAGTAGGTATAAATGATGATTGACTAACTCTAAACATTTCAAAAGCTTAAAATTATAAATCTATAGAAACTGAATCAATAGAAATTCAATAATGGCTTATGTGATTAATAACATCTATTTTATCAAAGCAAATAATTAATAAATTGATATTCACTTTTAGGTAAAGTCATTTCATACTTTTATCTTTAAATTTGTTTAATTTCAATAAATATATATGTTATATGGTAAATTCTTAAATGAATATTATTTTAATTATGTAAATATGTGTTCAATACTAACAATATTGTAATTAAAATCTATGTTAAATAGCAACTAATATAGTTAATTTATCAAAATAAATAAAACATATTTTGCAGATTAAGCAAAAAAAAAAAAGCTATATATTTCAGTGTTCAACAAACAAAATAAAATAGCTTGTTGTTATTATTATCCTTGAAATAAAAAAGAGTTGTAACAAAAAGGTATTCCTAATCGATGATTATATTAATAAATAATGTAAGTAAATAAAAATTAATTTAACTTACTGGCTCTCTTCATTTTAATTTATGTTATGGTTAATTATATAAAAATTATAATCTATATATATGTTACTTCTAATCATACATAACATATATAAATTAATTATATGTATTGAGAAATAATATGAATTTAATAAAAGAAATATAAAAGAAAACACAAATATACAAAATGAGCCTAACTTCCTATACATGTAACCACACATCCAGGTGAAAAGGTTATTTATTAATCAAGAAAATCCTTTTCATATGTTTACAACTACCATGCTTCCTTACTTAGACATAGAAGTTATTGAAATTCACCGGCTATGCAAATCTCATAATTATTTAAACTCTTTTAATGATTTAATGCAATTAAAACTCTAGTTTCACTGTAAAATTTAAAGTGTTATTAAGAAAAAATTACTTTAATAAAGAGTTCAAAGTTAATAAATAAATATATAGATAAAAATTCAAAAGTGGTGAAAGTACCTTGATTATTGAACCCAAATACGTATTATGGTAGTAGTAACCTTAGCCTGCAAAAAAAAAATATATAAAGCTTAACGGAATACCTTCTTAAAAAAATTAGAAAAATATAAACTATGTACTTTTATATAAGCTTAAACTATATATAATTGCATTTCTTACCATGTTAATTAATCCTGCGTAATGTTGTTTAGATATTCTCTTTTGATATTCTTCAGCATGGATACAACATTCTTCATATCTAATCTATCTTCAGGTAATTCAGTTGAACAATCCAAAGCTAATCTCATAATAGATGATATACAATTTGCTTTAATAACAAAATATTCATCCATTTCTTGCACTAAACTAGAATCTATTACACCAATTATCTCATTTGATAATGACCTTTTCACCCAATGCTTTATATTCATTTCTCCAACGAAAATTTCATCTGTGGGCTTCTTTCTTGTGAAAGTCTCTATTAATAGAATACCATAGCTATAAACATCACTTTTTGTCGAGATAATTCCCATCGATCCGTATTCTGTATTTTAAATATAATTGAATCATTAAAACGATCTCATGCAATAAAATGATAAAATACTAATATCTACTCGTCTTGGAATAGAGAAAAAATTAAAAAAAATGAAAAAATCACCTGGTGCCATATAGCCAACAGTAGCTAGTGTCATTGTTTGTTTGATGGAATCTCCTTCTCCCAATAGCTTGGCAATTCCAAAATCTCCCACGTGTGCAACCATGTCCTCATCCAATAAGACATTACTTGGTTTTAGGTCACAATGGATTATAGGAATCGGATGTCCCAAATGGAGGTATTCTAATGCCGATGCAACATCTATCATTATGTTGATTCTTTGTAGGATATCCAATACATAATTGTAAGAATATAACCATTTCTCAAGGCTCCCATTAGGCATGAACTCAAGCACTATGGCTTTGAAATCAATAGTTGAACAACAAGTAATAACCTTGACAAGATTGCGATGAAGGATATTGCTCATCACTTCACATTCAATGTCAAAACTCTTAAATGCTTCATCTATTTGCAAATTGAAAACTTTTATTGCGACTTCTGTTCCATCTGAAAGTATTCCTTTGTATACAGAGCCAAAACTTCCTGAACCAAGTAAGTTATTCCCACTAAATCCACCAGTCCCTTGCAATAGTTGATTATACGAAATTCTTCTCCTTTTCTTGAGAGGAATTAAATCGTTAACCATTGCCAAATTCATATTCCCCCGTTGCCCTTTTTTGTAGACAATTATGACAGCTACAACTATTATTATTGAAGCAAATGTTGGTAAAACATACCTCAAAGCATGAAGAGCGGTCTTCTTGAGTTTTGGATGGATTTTATTTTTGCAAGGTGAGACTTGTAGTCTAGGTGAACCACATAGTGCATAATTTTTCATGAATGATTTGGCTGTGAAGTTCAAAAAGGGCCCTCCACTTGGTATTTCTCCTTCCAATCTATTGAAAGACACATTAAAATAATTGAGATCATAAAGTTTTTCCAAAGACTTGGGAATGACTCCAGAGAGATTGTTGTTAGATAAATCCAAGCTTTTCAAACTTATCAAGTGACCCAATGATTTTGGAATAGGGCCTTGTAATCTATTTCTAGAAAGATTCAAAACCTGTAGATCATAGAGACTTCCAATTGTGGACGGAATATCACTTGATAATAAATTCCTTGACAAATTCAAAGAGATAAGTACCTTCAAATTTCCAATGTCAAGTGGAAGTGAGCCACTAAGATTGTTTGATGAAAAGTCCACTTCTAAGATATCTTTAAGGCTCCAAAAAGTTAAAGGTATTTGCGAATACAATTTGTTGGAGAACAAGTATAGATGTCTCAGAGAAGTCAAATCACACAAACATGTCGGTAAAGGTCCATCAAGCTCATTAGCACCCAATGATAATTCGTACAATCCCTCCAAACCACAAAGATCGTGTGGGATAGAGCCTTGTAACTTATTCCCAGAAAGATTCAAAAGTTGGAGATTTTTTAGCCTTCCTATTGTTGTTGGAATAGGTCCAGTCAATTTATTAGAAGAAAGGTCTAACAATATAGCGTTGCTTAAGCTACCAATTTCCATGGGAATGCTGCCTCTAATTTTGCAATCAACGACCAATAATTTTTGAAGTGATGTGGAAAGATTTGAGATAGAAGTTGGAAGAATTCCATTCAATGGGTTGAATGATAGGTCCAAAATTCTTAGATACCTGCAATTTGCCAAGGAATAGAGAAAGCTCCACCCATGAGTTGAAATTTTGGTGGTCAAATCATTCGACGGAAGGTTCAAAATCTCAAGGAACCTCAAATTCCCAAGTGTATTTGGAATAAGGCCATAGAATGAGTTTCTATCTAAATCTAGGACTCTGAGCTTAGAAACATTGGAGATAGAGTCAGGAATATTTCCACTGAGATTATTCTCCGATAAGTAAAGCTGCTCAAGATTTGAAGCAGAGCTCATGTATGGTAATTTACCTAAAATGAGAAAAAATAAGTTTTCAACTTTCCATACAAGAAATAAATTAATTGTTTTGCTTTGTTGTGTTTTTCATGAATCTATGATGCAAGCTGAAGTGAATGCAATGCTTACATATACGAACATGAGTGAGGAGAAACATGAAAAAATTATAAATATGAAACAACTTCAAGTTTTTCTTGTTTGATGATCTGGAATGTATATATAGTTTATAAATATTTTTCATATTTATAATGATTAGAAGGCTCCATGCTTACGTATAATAAAGTAAAAAAGAGGAAAAAGGAAAAGAAAAAGAAAAATGAAGATAGAAGAAAGGTAGGGAGAAAAGAAAATATTATTAAGGTTTCTAGTATATGCTTAAAATGTTTTCCATTTATGTGAGAATTTTATTTCTTTAACTTATCTCAATTGCTTTAATGATAAAAAGATTAAAGAAATTTTGGATGATGAAATTGTTCATTAAAGAAAAAGAAACAAGACAAAAATGAAGAAAATAAAAAATAAAAATATATTTACATTAATTTCTTTGAGAAAGTGTAATTATTTGAAAATAAATTAAAATTTTTATCTATGCCATTTTAGGAAAAAAGACTCAAGAGAAATGATAAAATTTCTTTCATTTTAGACTATATGCATAATAAAAGAGATAACTACAAAGATTCTATTCAAAGATTGTTAAAAAGATTACTCTTTTTAGTTTGAAAATCACTTTCTTTCTTCCCTAAGGTTAGATAGAACCTTACGAATGCTCTACCAGAGGAGGTTCATTTGAGATATGTTGGAGTAATAGTGTATACATCTTCCTACTACAATAAAAAATTCAGTAATATGATGACAAAAAATGTGAAACTAATGAAAAAGATTTTAAAATGATGCTTTCGATTACACAATTATTACAGGGTGAAAAGCCTTGCCTAAGTCCGATTTAGAGGGTGAAGTAAAGGTAAATCAAAAAGCTCTTCTTGGATACTATGAAGGCCACATAAGAGCATTACCTTGGGAGAAAAAAATTTGTTACACTGTTTGTTGATGGAATTTTTCTACGATGTAGTCTCTTTAATCTCAAGCAATGTTTTGTCAGATGTGGGAGGGTGGGTGATTTTTATGTCCTAAAAAATCAAAAGAGAGCCAAAAATGTCTTAGATGATTTTGTCCATTATCTTGATCTACGGGATGCATTGAGGGCTGTCAAATTTCTAAATGGTTAGCTCCTGAGTTACTCCACTCTATATGTTCAAATGGCAAGGAATGATCAAAGGTCTCCTGCTAGTTCTAACCCCACCACTCACCACATGGAAAAAGGTGTAAGCTGCATAGAAGACTTTAGAGATGAACGATCTTATGCAGAGGTGGTTCATATGTCTGTCAAATGCACTCAGTTAAAGGATAACATTGTATCAGATGGTCAAAAAGAAGAGGTTTTAAAATGGCTTAACATCCTTGAATACATTCCTGAAAATTTAGATTTGGTTGGATTACAACGGAATGCTGTTGGGATAGTTAGATATTCTGATACTGCAAATGCCATTGATCAAATCTTGTCAGAGAACTTCGATGATCGTTCTGTCACTATAATGGGTGAGAATATGGTTCTTTTGACTTTTGAAAGCAAAGAAAGTAGGGAAAGACTTAGATGAAATTCTTTAAGTAAAATTTATGAAGTTTTTAACCAAAAATGATTAAATAAAAATTAAAATAAAAAATCAAAACTGATCGACTAAAATATCTTGTTACATAGATCAAGTATGCAAAATTTGAAAAAATTTAAAAAAATTTTATATTTTTTTATATAGACATTTTTTAGTAAAAATTTTATAAAAATTTTTACCGTTAAATAAATATTGATCAAATTTAAACTATAAATAATATTTTTAATAATTTTTTTTTTACATATTATTGATCTTCACATTAAATTCTATCAATCTATCTGTTTTGATTTTTTTATTAAAGTTTTTATTAAATCATTTTTAAGAAAAAATTTTACAAACTTCACCTAGAAAACTTTATGTAAGTTTTGTCCAAGAAAGTATGTTATTATCTCTGGAACTTGGTTAGTAGTTTCTATTGAGCTTATAAGCAATAGTGATCTAGACGCTGAGAAACTTTTCAATGTTGAAGAAAAATTTCACCTTTTTACTGTTGGGGAACACTACAGCTCTGATATCATTTGTTGGGCTAAAAGCCTCCAATCCAATCGCACCAGCGAAAGCGAAATCAAACAATAAATCAAACACACAAGAGACAACAATTTAACGTGGTTCGATCCAACTGACCTACATCCACGGATGAGAAACAAGATCCACTAGTTGTAGAGAATTACAAACTTACATCAAATCATCAACCTCACTTAACAATCAATACTCATAAGACACTCTCAATGTCCTCTAGTCCTATGGAGTATTCTCAATCTAAACAAATACAAACCCAAACCCTTGTGCACCCTTTCAACATAACCAAACACATACCCATATGCTCCCATACATCATACCTATGTGGACCCTCTCAGTCTCCTCTAGTCCACTCACAAACAATCATACACACCCATAAGACGTAGAGCCCCAATACTCCTATGGGGTGTCTATCCCACAAAATCCTACAACTCTCTTACATCTTTTTCTCATACCTAACCCTATAGAGACTTCACTTATTTATAACCATACAAACTTGCCCATTAAGAATCCCTCTCCTCTTAGAATTCTTCTCCTATAAGTCAAACTTGCCTATTAAGAATTCCTTTCCCTTTTGGAATTCTTCTCTTGCAAATCAAACTTACCTATTAAGAATCCTCTTTCTCTTAGAATTCTTCTTTTGCAAGTCTTCTTGTCTATCAAGCAATATCTGACAAATCTCTAACAAATCCCAAACAAATCTCTTATGGGATTTAAGTCAATATTCCCAACATTTACTACTATTCGAGCAGGTAAAAGAAGGAAAAAAAGTTAAGGCAAAATATTGGACAAGATCCAATCGCAAGTCTCGCCAGATAAAGACAACTCTAGTTTCCAATGTTCAAGAGCACTTATGAGATGAAGATATTCGTTGTCGAAATAGAGCTTTTCTAGAAGGATATGATAGTGGTTATGAGGTTAATGTTGGGAGTTTTAGCGTTTTGCTATTTGTATGCTTTTGGGATATGGAAGTGCCCCTATGTAAAAAGAACCATTGACCATGAAAGTTGTTGTCTATATTTTTTGAAATTGTGATGCTTTGGAGATCAATTGGGGCATCCAGTTTGATAAAAAAATTTTAGAAAGCTGAATGATATGGTAGATGTCATGGCAAAGGTGGGTGGAGATTTTGTCATGGCAAGGGATAGTGGTGTTTGCTTTCATTATTTGTTTACCGACCATGGTAGTGTTTTTTTTTTTCTTCTTTTTTTGTTTGGATGTCATGATTTCTTCTTTTTAGGTGGAAGTCTTTCGTTAGAATTGTGCTAGATTATTATTATTTTTTTTGTTTCTGGTATGGCTTTAACTATGTTTCTTGGTTAGGTTCTTGTATTTCACTGATGATGGTCTTTTGATCTCTAATAAAAATATGGCTTAGCAAAAAAAAAAAAAATACACAACTATTGCTTTTTATTTCGTAAAAGAACAGTTAAATTCCCTAATTTGACAAACAAACAAAAAAAAAAAAAACAGGATAAAAGTAGCACTTATTTTTATTGCATATAATAAAAAGAGAGCATATAATTTACAACTATTATAATTCAATTAATTAATTATAATTTAAAATTATGTAAAATTTATCAAAATTTTATATGTAACCCATATTTATAAGTGACGATCCTTATATAATATTCTATTGTGATTAGATAATAATTATAATATTATAGTAAAAAAAGCTACAACTGAAATGCTTCAGATAAAAAGTTAAACAACTTTAAACAAATGTATACGTTACATTAATACAATCCGGTGACAAAAGCTTGGTAGTTAGGGATGAATTGGAAATTGACATGTGCTTGGATAAGTGAAGAATTTAGTTTTTTTAATTTTGAATGTTGATTTTTTTTGGAACGGAGTACGATTAAAAAAAATCATTAATACTATATTTTAAAACTATGGTTTTTGTTATTTTTTTTTAAATTGTTTTTGATCAAATATAATTAATCACAAGTTTGATCCTTAGTTACCATATAAACTTTACTCATATGTCTTAAAAGAATGGGCTGACTAAAAAATAATATAGGCTAAGTAAATGTATAAGCCTTAATTTTTGTATTAAAAGAGTGGACTTAATATATAATGTTATAATAATTTTAATCTAATTTTAATTTCCATATTTAAATTTATTATTTATATGTAACATAATAATGCTCAAATTAAAATTACCTTATCCATTCAATAAAAATTTAATATTTTAGAAGATTTAAATTTAATATTTTATTATACTATTGCATCTTGTGAATAAATAATAAAATTATATTAATTTTAATACAATGTTACATGTTGTTAACAAATAATAATTTAGAAAACCTATAAAATGAATTGACCTAATGTCTTTAGGTAATAATAGAAATTACAAAATGGATCAGTTACAATTTAATGAAAACTTAAATCGGTGTTAAAAGAAAAATATTTGAGGGAATAAACACTAAAAGGTTTTTAATTTGGTTTTATTGACATGGAAAGACTCTTTCTTTCCTACTTCAAATTAAATAATCATTACAATACAGGTTTAAATTATAATTTTTTATGCAATTTTCTATTTTAAAATACACGTTTTTACATGTACTTTATTATATCATATTTTCATTTCTAGAATCTCTATCTCTTTCTACTTCTCATTTTTCTTTCATTTTTTTTTCCTTCTTGCTATTCAGGTTGTTTTTTTTTTTTTTTTCAAATTTCAAAATTTTTGGCTTACTTTTTATCATCTTTTACTGTTTTCAATGTACAGAATATCAAAATACAACATTCATTTTAATTCCATGCAGTGGGAAAAAAAGGATAATTAACAAATAGCTCCATTGATCTATTCTTTCCTCTCATCGAATTTTATTGAATCTTATATCTTATATTTCATTATTTTAACAACTTATTAAGAGCTAATCAAATATATTAATATGAATCTTGTATATAAACTTTTGAGTATACTTATAGAATCTGAATATTATTTTTTTTATAACTTCGTTATGATGAAAATCAAATATATTCATTTGAATCTTGTTTAATTTATCCCTTACAATCCTTTCTATATATACTAAACAATTTTAATTAATTTAACGATATCTATATGATTTAATTTTTATGATACATTTCACATGTAGCCAATATAACTACCCCATGCGGATACACACTATTAATAAATATAAAAGTAATAAAATCGATTGTTAAATTTTTTATTACACAAAATATAAATTTTAAATATTTGCAGATAAATAAATATAAAATATAATATAATAATATAATAATATAATAATACTACTTTAAGTTAGATGTAACAATAAATTAAGTCGGCATTAAATTAATATGGGAGTAACAAAGTACATTAATATTACTTTTTATTACATTATAAAACAAATCAAATAATTTTATCATATATAATTGCAATGGGATAATAAATAATAGCCATATTACATCACAAGTTTTGGGTACCTATCCTTTCTCCACATTGGCCAACTTTGTAGACTTAGCAAGTGGTGCGCATCTTAGTTAGGGGCATGACTCCATCATAAAATGTTTTTTTTTTTTTAAATTATAAATATTTTCCAAAAGATGGAATTTTCCATTTTCGGGTTTGATTTTCAAATTCTTTTGAGTCTGTTTTGCTTTTCCCTAATTTAATTGGAAACAGTTTTTGATTTTAATAAGATAAAAAAGGTTTGAAAAAACATTTCTCAAGCCTTTCAATGACACTTCATTTTTTTAACAGTTTTCATAATTTTATGATTATTTGTTTTATAATCCTAAACTAAACCTTTTTTGAAACTAAAGTAAATAATTTTAAATATAAAAGTAATGAAATGTTTATAATGAAATTACCTGATAGACTATTGTTGGCAAGACTAATTGCTTTCAAAGAAGAAATGTTGAAAATGGAATGTGGAATCAATCCACTTAACCGCATAAATGATGCAACTAATTTCTCCAATGAAATAAGATTCCCAATCTCCCATGGAATTTCACCTGCAAAAGGAAAAACAACTTTATTATAAAACTATCCACTTTCTAAACATTTCAATAATATTGAGGTTATTTAAAATGCAATAAAAGTCAATTACACAGGAAACTCCTAGTTTCTTCAATGTTTAAAATATGAAGGAATAATTAATTTCATCAATACTAAAAGTTTGAGTCAAAATGAGAAAGCATAAAAGAAAACCAAATGTGACTATTTTCATGTTGATCATTCTATTAATTTTTATTTTTTAGTTATTTTTTAATTTTTGTTATATATACAAAAATCATGAATATGATGTAATTTACTCTATTTTAGGTTTTTTTTTTATTACTTTTTGCAAAAACAAAAACAAATAGGAATAAAAAAATATATTATGATCAAACAGAGCCTAAATAATAAAATGTCCAAGAGATATCTTTTGGTTTATAAAATTACTTATCCCATTTGAATTATTTCCGTTGAATCAAATTGGAACCTAAGTTCCCACAACTATCACGACGAAATCCCACAGCAACTAGACAATCAAGCCTGATCTTAGGCTTTACTTGATCATTGAAGCAAAAAGTTGAGTTCAGCACAAAAGTAAGCAATATTCTTAAATAATTAATTAAAAATATTTTAATTTCTGTTAATAGTTTAATATATGATTTTACTTTTATATAGAATATTAATAGATTACATTTTGAATGCTTATTTTATTTTACCTTTTTCTCAATTTTAATTTAATTAGGTGGATACCACACATTGTCTCGGATTAAAATTTTTTTATTTTTTCATCCCTGTTCATTGATTTTTTAAAAAATTTTTACCTAATTTTAAACAAAGCAAAAAAAAAAAGGTAAAAGATAAAAAAATTCAAATGAGAGTGGCACATTGACATATAAATTAGCTTCTTATTCTCACAATAAATTTTATTAAAAAAATTTTTATTTTATATTTTTACGTGGGAAACCCACTTAATATCAAGCTTTGAATAAAAAAACCAGTGAATATATATAATTAAATAGGTAATAAAATATTTATTTATATATGTGTGTATATATATATATATATATATCATAGGATGGCTTGATGCAAAGTATCATAAATTTGATTTTGACATGTCCCTTGTTTCTATAAAAAAATTCGACTTAAATTTATTCGCTATTGATTTTTTCCAAAACCTCTCATATTAAATCGAGATGGATAAAAATATAGTGGATATTGATTGTTTTGTAATTCTTATCAATAAAAAATCAAACATGTGATGTACCCTTGATATTAGGTAGTTCCCACATAAAAATTAAATATGTAAAAAATTATAAGTTAAAATTTTGGAAAAAAATAAAATGGTAAAAATGACAAAGAGGAAAAAAAATCTTGATACAAAGTGGGTCTCACCTTTAAATTTTTAAATTTTTTAAAAATAGTTATTAAATATTTAAAAATAAGGAAATAAAGAAAAACAAAAAAATTAAAAAAAAACGAAAATTTTAATCTTTCAAAAAATAATTATTAAAATTTAAAAAAAAAAACAAAGAAGGAAAAAAAAAAAAAGAGGAGTACCACATGACACCTCTAGGATGGTCAAGTTTTGGTCAAAATAGCCTAAATTAATTATATAAACAGATATATATGTTTTAGTTTTTCCTAATTTCTTTTGTGTGCATTGTTGGAGTCTTGGTCAACGTAAAGCTATATTCAGTCGCGTAACTTAGGGAGTGTTAGTTTGAACAATATTTCACTATATAATTAGTTCGACAAAATTAGTGACAAATTAAATATTTTGCATTTAAAATTTAAGAACGAACTGTTTTGATAAAAGAAAATTATCAAAGGCAAAAAATAAAAATAAAAATTTTACCTTCCAAATTATTTCCCCTCAAGAGTAGCCCTTTGAGCCTCGTTAAATTTCCAATACTCCTTGGAATGCTGCCACTGAATCTATTGAAGGATAAAGTTAAATTTTGAAGGCACCTGCATTCATCTATACTTGATGGAATTTGACCAGAAAACTCATTTAAGGGCAAGTAAAGTGCCTCAAGATTGGGAAGATGACGACATATATCTTCAGGTAAACTGCCAGATAGACTGTTAAATCCAAGAGAAATCACGTGTAGGGAGGAAATGTTATAAATGACTGAAGGTACAGAACCAGAAAGTTGGTTAAATGCCAGACGAAGTATCTTTAGATTTAGAAGATTACTTATCTCGGGTGGAATGTGTCCTTGAACGAGATTGTGCCTCAAGTCCAAGATTTCCAAGTTGGACATTTTAGCTAGTGATTGAGGGATTGTACCTGTCAAATTGTTGCTCCGGAGGCTCAAATATAAAACTTTATTTAATCTCCCAAAACACGAGGGAATTTCCTCACTAAAAAAATTGAAGCTTAATTCTATGAGTTTCAGACGATTTAATTGCCCCAACTCTGTCGGTAAATGACCATAAAAATTGTTGTGACTCAAATCAAGAGATACTAAGAACGAGAGATTTCCCAATTGTGGAGGAACAGTTCCTATAAGATTCATGTTGGGAAGATTCAAAGCGTTGACTCTCCTATGCTTAGAAGCACAAGAGACACCAATCCAGTTGCAAACAGAGGTAGCGTTGGTCCAATTGTTTGCTAAGATATTGTGAGGATCAACGATTCGGTGTTTAAATTCGAGAAGAGCATATTGATCTGTCGTAAGGTTCCTCACACTCATGGCGTAACTAATCATCAAACAATGAATGAACATTAAAGCTGACGACAGAAAATGGAATTTTCTCATGTCCATGGCTGTGGGAATTGATGAAATGCAGGATGGTTTGAGGAAGTCTGCTCAAAGTAATAGTTAAATATAGAATCAACTAGACTTCGACAGGAAAGTCGTTCGATGGTCTTCGTCTTCACAATAAATAAACGAGTGAAACTTTTCACTTTGAAATTAATTTATATTTTAGCATCTTTTTTTTTTCTTTTTTCCTTTTTTTTTTCTATCTCTTTCTTTCTTTTTATTCCTTGTCTTGTACGCTTTATTAGGCCCCATGACTCCACGTGTTACGCGAGATTGTTGCAAAATAGTAATGCTGCATCTCTCTTCTTGGAGAAAATATAGTAATCTATGTTATTTTTAAACCAGGTGGAATCAATTTAATTAATGAAATTACTTAAATTTTAAGATAATAATAATAATAATAATATGTAGGTACAGATATTTATTTTTTGAATTTGATTTGTAAAAAAAAAAAAAAAAAAACTACATATCCAATACATCGAGTAACATCTTTTATTAGCTAACTTCCTTTTTTAATCAAAATATTTTCTTCTTCACTCACATATCAAGTGTGTCATAATCTAAAAAAATAAAATTAATTTAATTATTAAATTATTTTTATAAAATAAAATATTACTATGGCCTATTTGTAATGTGAGTTTTAGTATTCAATAAAAATATGCCAAGTAAAAATTGCTCCTATACATAGCATAGTAGATGAGCCCAATAGTTAATGCTATTGAAATTATTTAAAAAATGGAAATACTTCCAAGTTTCGAAATTTACTAGATTTAAGGATCGTGTTTCAATTCGGTTTTTATTTTATTATTTTGTTATTATTTAAACACTCGAGATATAAATGTCAATTATAAGTAAGAATAATATTTTAATCATTCTTTTATAAACAATCAACTTATAAATAAATTAGTAAACACAATCTACTTCTAATAATAATCCCAAATTAATATTTAATTAATATCAATGCACCCTAAAAATTTAGCAAATGAATTACTCAAATAAACATAGAGATAAATTAAATTATAAAAATTTAAAATTAACACATCAAATAAATAAAAACATAAAGCATAATTTTATATTTATAATAAGAAAAAAAACCATAATAAGAGCTCAAACATAATGAAAATTTTATTCAACATCTTAAAATAAGTCCAAAATACAACTCCCAATATCTCTCATAAAATGTCAAAAGTACCCATAAAAATTAAATTAAATCTTTCTATGACCCTTGTGAACATGTGTCATCACCACATCTATCTGTAACTAATTTTTAATTTATAATGAAAGGTGTTAAATCGATTATAGTTTTGTAAAAGAAAATTTCTAAGGTAATAATGATGATAATGTTGTTAGGATACAATACAATCTAAATTTTTTTTTGCTAAATAAATTTAAATTTATTTTTAAACTAAAATTGTGAATATATATAAATATATATATAGATATACACACACACACTAATGGTAACGTGATTGAGTTGCAGTCATGAGTTAACCAATTGGTAAATTTACATTAAATCCAAAGTTAAAATAGAATAACAATATAAATTTAAGATTTAAAAAAAAACTTTTTTAATCTTATTAAAAAAAAGCTACCCACCCATAAAGTAACATCCTATAAAAAAATTAATTTTTAATGAATTTTTTTCGCCCCTCATGAGTATATTAAAATCTAGTACTTTTATTAAATTTTTGATTGATATGGTTTAAAATGGATTTAGTATTTCATATATTTGTATTATGTCAATATCATTATACACGTATAAAATATGAAAGTTTTCATATCAAATTCATGTTGATAAATTAAATATAAAATACTTTTTTTTGTTGTTGTCAAATCCGCATAGAATTTTTGTCAAAACTTTAAATAATATCACTTTCACATGTTTTTTCATATAATTTTAATCTCATGTGATCGTGTTATATTTAATATTATCATATATATATATATATATATATATTGCAAATGATTCCACCTAATGCAAGCAATTCTCTCTCCAATTGACCCTGACTAAGAAATTTTGAAGTCAGAAAAGCAATTGACTTTGTTGCAAGAGCAAGGATTAATCTAAACCTTACCAAATCAAAGCAACCACTATTTTTTCTTTTTTTTTTTTGAAATCAAAGCAACCACTATTATTATTACGACATTAACATGTGAATTTGTATGGTTTCCAAAAACAGTAAGATCTTCTTCTAACTGCGTTCCGATCTTTTAATATTATATGATGAATTTGATTACTTTATTATCATACTTGGGTTGTTAAATAATTGAGACTGGGTGTAAAACCTCCTAATTTGTAACCACTACTTTTTTAAGGTGAGGAAATTAAAAGTATTTATTACCTAAATAGGCCATTTTTAAATTATTTTTTCTTTTCAAAGAGGTTTTTTTTTTTAACGAAATGTCAATTTTTATTACTAAACAGGTAGTCTAGTACTTTTATAAATCTTTGGATGAATTTGATATCACCAGGCAATTGATACCAACGGTCTTGGTCTTCACAATAAATAAAATGAGTCAAGCTTTTGATTTTGGGCCCTCTAATTTGCTTTTGATCTCCTTTTACAAACCATATCTAAAACCAATATATCTTTTTCTCTTTTTCTTTGTATTTATTGGACTTGCATACTTTGTGAGACCCAACTAGTCATTTCTCCTTGACTCCGCGTTTTACGCCATGGGCTTCTATGAAATTGCAGGCAGTCATTCTTTTATATAAATATAAATATAAATATAAATTATATATATTTCTCTAAGAGATATAAATTATATTAGGATAATTGATCATTGATAATATTCAATATTGACAAAAATAATTTTAAAATTTTAAAATACAATATCGTACTCAAATTTCAAATAAAAGTGATCTAATTATTTTTTAAAATTTATTTTCAAATCATGAATTTATAGAATATGAAAATATTAAATTAATATGATAATATCATATGATTTTTCCTTTACTTAACATTCTAGTTAATTTCAGTGGTTAGTAGAATATAAAAAGTTTTCAAATGAATTTTATTTATAATCTTTTCTTTCAAAAATTCTTTTTTAGTATTAATTAATGGAATATGAAAAGAATGAAGTTAATATAATAATATTTTAAAACCAAGTTATAAATTAAAATTTCTTTAAAATTTGCTAATATATGGGACCAAATATTTAATGAAATTCTTGTGCATTTTCATTTTACCCTTCAAACAATTCATAAAATTATATAAAAAAAAACTATATATTTTTCACATTTATCTTTTTAATTTAGTTCAAAATTTCTCTTGATTTCATTTATTTCAAATTTATCTTGATTTCATTTATTTCAAATTTATCTTGATTTCATTTATTTCAAATCGATAACTTTAAAAATCAATGACATTTGCTGCCTTGATATCATGTAACTGTTGACATAAATTTCAATAAAAAAAATTTAAAAAGATCTTTTTGTTTTTTGCCATATGATCATTGTTTAGGCTCGCTTTTTTTACCACAATTTTTTATTTAATATGTACACAAAATCAAATAAGGATAAAGAGATTTGAGGACACATGGAGTGTCAGTTTCAATTCAACCCTAAGATAAGTTTATGATAGTACCACATATCAAAGCCGTGATTGGTGTAATCCAAAACTGAGCAAGCAATTCTTTTTCCATGAGAGAGACAAAAGAAGTATCAATAAAGTTATTTTATTTTTCACATCCATAAAAGCAAATAAAGGAATCTAGTCAGAAAAGCTAAGGACATACTCTAAGTGCTAGGCCTTGAATCAATCCAAGTCATCTTGCTTTCGACAAACATCAAAGCAGGCTAAGAAATTTTAAGTCAGAAAAGCTAATGATCGTTTTCTAAATGCAAGGATCAATCAAGTTTCTAGGCCTTGAATCAATCCAAGTCATCTTGCTTTCGACAAACATCAAAGCAGGCTAAGAAATTTTAAGTCAGAAAAGCTAATGATCGTTTTCTAAATGCAAGGATCAATCAAGTTGTCTTGGTTTCACAAAATTTTAAGTCAGGAAAGCTAATGATTGTTTTCTAAATGCAAGGATCAATCAATTGTCTTGGTTTCACACACATCAAGGCAAACTAAGAAATTTTACGTCAGGAAAGCTAATGATCATTTTCTAAACGCAAGGATCAATCAAGTTGTCTTTGTTTCACACACATCAAGGCAGACTAAGAAATTTTAAGTCAGGAAAGCTAATGATCGTTTTATAAACGCAAGGATCAATCATATTGTCTTGGTTTCACACACATCAAGGTAGACTAAGAAATTTTACATGAAGAATTAAAACTATCAAATGCAAGGATCAATCAAGTGGTCTTGGTTTCACACACGTCAAAACAAACAGAGAAATTTCAAGTCAGGAAAGCTAATGATCATTTTCTAAATGCGAGGATCAATGAAGTGGTATTGATTTTACACACGTAAAAGCAGACCAAGAAATTTTAGGTGAAGAATTAAAGCTACCAGTTGCCAGGATCAATCAGTCTTCTTGCTTTTCTCTTGCATCAAAGCAAATCATTCTGTTATCATACCTCGGATAGGTAATTAAATAATTGAAATTGGGTTTAAAAGCTTTTAATTTGTAATTTTTTTTTCTTAAGATAAGGTAAATTAAAATCTTTATTATCAAAGAGATAGTAGTTTTAAATTTTTTTCTTTAAAAGATGTATTTTTTTTTATATAAAAGATGTCACAACTTAAATATTGAAAAAAAAAATGTAAGTATTGGGATTTAAATTTCAGATTTATTAGATGTAATCTCTTAAGAATAATTACATGAGCCAAATAAATTAAACTTTTAAATTATATTGATTGGATAACTCATTCGAACCCGAAAGCCCGTCCTAATTTTGGGAAGGCTTAGACATGAATTTTAGGTTCTTAAATGGGCCTAAACTTGAATTTTAGACCCATTTAAAAAATGTACTA